GACCAATATATAAATCAGTGCTTCCAAGCGAGTTTGATGATCATTCATTCAGAGATGAAAGGCTTGATTAGTCAGAATAGCATTTGATCCCGGATTTCATTGCTCATCATGTGTATGAGAAGTGACGCCTTCTACTAGCCCTATCTTGGCCCTGCATGAGAAGTGACGCCTTCTACTTGCCCTATCTTGGCCCTGAACTCTCAAATCAATGACCTCAAAAAGACACCTTGATTTTCCAGCAAGAAAGAGTCATTACTACCTGCAAGGCCAAACACATTTAGACCTTGTGCATGAGTAACCTGCATAATGAAATGTGGTTCAAGCCCAGAACTCATGGTTATTCCGAGTTGCTGTCATTTGCGTTTACATTGCATATGCAGTATGGAGAGCTTTTGAATTTGAGCACTCGATCCCTCTAAGAATTTTAACACGTATCCTTTGTTCATTTCCAGACATTGCCTTCCAGAATGTACGAGGAGTTTTCTGCTGATCAGCTGTGTCAGTCGCCATCGACTAGATGTGTTGCTCCTTTTATGAAGATGCAAACAAATATTGTTGTAAGTTAATGACAGTTTTCATTAAGCATTGGGAAATGGGGATGCGTGATGTCGTTCGCTATTCGTGATCATTTGAATACGCACAGAAAGCGGAGGGATACAGTCGATGTCCCGATCCCCGAAAACCAGTGGTTATAGACAAAAGGATAAAAAGGATAAAGCATTTGCCGTTGATCAATCCCTTTTTGGGATGCGGCACGCATTCTACTTCCATTTGTACATTCGTAGTGGCGTTTGAATGCGATGTGGCCTATACAATGACTTGCGGGGGCCAGCCGATGTACAAGTCAGTGTTTTTATCCTCCCAGACAAGTCTGGTACCAATTAACCGACCCCGGAGGGATGGAAGGCTTGGTTGGCCCGGGCGACTCACGACCCAGGATTTGATCCCCGGACCGCTCGCGTGGTAAGCGTGCCACTTGCCACTACACCACTTCCGCCCAGTTATACAATAGACATGTTTGTAGAAGACGAGGGCGAGTAGACAGGCTGGTCAAAATCCGACCAGCTCGTAAAGTACTCGATTGTGTGGAAGTGTGTGTTCTGATAAGCGCGCCATATTTTCTCGGAAACTTGTGAAACGAAAGTTCTACAATTTTATTTCAGGTATCGCCGAATCACCGCCTAGTCACTTGTCTTGTGCAAAAGAACATGTCCACCTTGATGTTGAGCATAATCTGCTATCTTTTGAGAGAACGAGAATTCGTCAGCATGGGCCGAGAAATACTCAAGGAAAAGCGGCCAACATCGTAAGCTAGTGACAGTCAAACCCTATTTTCCTTTCAGCACAAATCAGGCCCATTATCCAGGTGAGTAGACGCTATAGGCGGGGGTTTTCATGACATTCGAGGTGGCGATCATTTTCCTTTGTAGTGCCCAATCATCTGAAGCTAGCTGTTAAGGGTGGCGACATTATCAGATTAAGTATTGGGTTGTTAAGAAAATCCTACGACACTTTGAACAATTTTCCTCAGAAAAACAACGAAACCATTTTCAACTGTTTTAGCATTTGATTTCTGTAGTGCATCGTTGGTGGTTTCAGCAGAAGCGTAAATGAAGGCTTTTCGTGCGACGGCTTAATCTAACTACTTCTCTCTGAATTAACCCATCTTTTGCCCTGTACTGTTTTTCAAGCTCCTCAAACGCCACCCTGGTTGTGCCGTAGCAGGTAGCATGTGCTGTATTCAAGAAGTGTAGGGCAATAGGGATATTTTAGGTAGTCGAATAAAGCCGGAGAGAAGTTGCGAACAGAGATAGTGGAAAGGCAGATCATTAGAAGGAAGTAAAGGCAAAGGACAAGTAAATATAATTCGCGCGATCTCGAGTAGAATAAATGATTCCCGCTCAGTGTTCAAGAGTAGTCCGAAAGGAAGGCCGATCATCACCAGGCATGGTGTCCGATAGCCTACTTGCTGTTGGTAGTCGGACCATACTTTATTCGTCCGGCTTGGTTTGAACTAGTGAGCTTACTCGGGGCTGCGCTTTTGGAGAGATATTCCATTCGTTGCAAAATGGATGGCGAGAGCCATTATTGATACGCGCAGAACACTATCCTCGCTGTGATCTTACAGTTAATGGTAATCGATTCGTGGTCCAAGAAATGTGTAAAGCGCGCATTTATGGATCGTACTTCATGTTGCGATTGGATACGGTGCGAGATAACGACGTTATAATGAAAGCATACATATATGGATTGAGGAGATTGAGCGAGTAGGAGATAGTGCGATTACGCGATTTTGGGCGGGGAAGATTAGATGGGTATTGATTAGTTTGCTACGCCCATAGACCTTTGAAGGCGGCCAGGCCATCGCCCAATGGGCGGAGCAAACGAATCGATACGTATCATCATCATATCGCCTACTCGCCTAATCGCCTAATTCGGCCTCTCGCCTCCATCGCTTAATTTTCACCTAGTCGCCTAATCGCCCAATCGCGCCCAATAGCCCAATCAGCCCCACATCGCCGCCAATCCTCGATACAATCATGCTTTTCTTTTTGAAATCATCAAATCAGATATCGAAACGCGTCCCTCCCCAACATCGTTACACATTACGCACCAGCACGATACCTCTCGCCAAGGTCGCCGAGTCGCGACGTTACGATCGCTCCATCTATACAACGTCCCACTAAATTTCCATCAATCTAAACTCATCTGATGCTAGAAGTCTAGCGGTTGAAACAAAAATCGTTCAAAAATGTCTAATAGCAATCTGTTTTACTGTTCGAGTAGCACTTATAGATTCTGCGAACATAAAAACCTTTTCGATGGCGTCGACGCGATGTTGCGATTCCTACAGGTGAAAAATTCGTCAGAATGGAGTCTTACGATGGTAACCCGTGAACCAGCTGATCGCTTTCTCTCGGGGTTCATCGATCGATGTTTGCGGTTAGTCCTTGATTTTGCTCTTGTGCGATCCTCCTTTTTCTACTTCCCTTGTCATCTTATCTCCAACTAACAAAATCTTCTCACGATCCGTCGGATGTGCCAAAGTAGGTGACTTAAAGGAGGTCGTTAAGTACAAGCCGCATTCTTTTCATACTGCTCTTTGCATGTGTAGATCTACAACCTCGTACGCACCATAAAAGCATGCTGCACCCATTTCGATAACCTCAATCTAGCCAGTCTCTCTAGCCCAAAGTTCTGTCGTTTTCCAGCCCCTAATTTTAAATGCACGTATCTCGGCTTGGGCTAAACCTTTCGAGTTGATTAAAAAACCATTTGAAAGCGCGAATCTTGTTCTATAAGAAACCGTTCAACAGGGTACGTTTATTTGGAATGCTGGACCTCTGGAGGCGATGAACTGAGGGAAGGTCGTTTTAGCATCATGTTGGTTTTTGATGTATTTCTCTTCAAGGAAGCTATCGAGATCGTCAGAAGTTTGACAGTAGATAGTTCAAAGGGTCTACTAAGTAAGATGTTCGCAGAACCACTCTGAAGTTCAGCTGGTACAACTTGTGAAGGGTTGGCCGTGCGATGTGCGTTCAAGACACCTTTCAGGGATGTGTGTGTTCCTTTATAATGAGGAATGCTGGACCCATGTCCTAGAGTTTTTGATGATTTTTGAATTAGTATAAAGATTGATTCTCCACTGTAACAGTTCCATCTGATACTGAAGAACATGGCCAGCCGCTGGCCCCATGAAAGCTGCCACAACCCTCCTCCAGCACAGTTTAAATTCTGCAAAGTTTGTAGAGCTTCATCGCCGTCGATCTATTCAGCAAACTTTCGTAGACTATAGAGAAGAATCCGCTCTTTATTGTACGTCGCAAATCTGTAGAGAAACGAGTCGCTTTCACCACATAAAACCAGCGACAATTTGATGGACGATGCTTCAAATTGGTGATTTGTCGCGGCACGCCACCTATCGAATTTTTTAGACTTTCCAGCTTCTTCCGTATAGCTTGGCTGTACAAACCATATACGCCCACGTTGGGCAGAACCTCCTCTATGGTCTTACGCACAAGTGCTTCAATCAGAACTTTTGGCTAATCGGAGACACCGTCCGATGTCCGACCACTACTCTCATCATATTCAAGGCTCTCGCCTTCCTTACAATAAATTTTTTAACTACTGCTTCTGAGCACATTTATTGCAAATCTAGGCCCAAAGCATCGTTGATATCTTGAACTGATCCCGCCACTTTCAGGTCTATTTAAAGCTAGAAAAAGAAAGTCATGCCAGCTTGCTCCTCGAGTATACTGAATTCAAAGCTTTGAAAAAGCTATAAGAAAATATTTTAGGATAAAGTTGTGCTGAGCATTGGATAGAGCTGGAAAAGTTCTTCAAAATGACATCAACATCAATTGCAGCTTTCCTAGATTTCAAGGGAAATAAAGCATCCAAAAGTGGAATGTCAGAAAACGACAGAACTTTCTGAAACACCTAATATAGTTAGACCAAAACCCGAAAGCAAAAAAATAGT